TATGCTGATACAATGCTGTTTTTGTAATACAGCTCTGTAATACAACTTGAAATCAAAGATGGTGATTTCTCTAACAATTATTTTATTATTCAGAATTGTTTTAGCCATCCTGAAGTTTGTATCTCCATATGAAATTGAAGATTTTTTTCAATTTCTGGGAAGAATTATGTTGGAATTATGATCAGGATTGCACTGAATCTGTAGATTGCTTTTAGTAGAAAGGCCATTTATACAATATTAATTCAACTGATCCATGAGCATGGGAAACTGATGTCTTCCTCATTTTCTTTCTTCGGTGTCTTACAGTTTTTATTATGCAAACCTTTTACTTTCTTGGTTAAAGTTATCCCAAGAAATTGTGAAATTTCCCTCATCTACATTGGCATGTCAATTATTGTTATCATTATGCAGGCCTTATTCAAGCAACCATGTTGTTGAGATTTAATGGGTGCAGCATACTTGTCATCTCTAGAAGATCCTATCTCATGGCAGGTTCCATAGTCCTCTAATTCTTGCCATCTCTCCACCCCATCTCTCTTGATATTTACTGAGCTTTATCTCATATATGATAATAGTTTTCATTTTATGCATACACATATGTATATATGGATTTTTTTTGCCTGCATGTAAGTTTGTGTACTACATGTGTACAGTGCCAATGGAGACCAGAAAAGAGCATCAGATTCTCTGGAACTGGAGTTTAAATTTCTCCCCAGCCTCAAAAATTATACTTCTTAAACATGCCCTAAGTGTGTGTGTGTGTGTGTGTGTGTGTGTGTGTGTGTGTTGATATATTATGGTATATGTAAAGTCAATTTAAACTAAATGGAAGTCCTAAGGGTAAGACCACAACTATAAAATCCCTGGAGAACACAGAGGAAAATCTCCTGAACATTGACCTTGACAGTGTGTTTTGGGCTAGCATATGAAAGCTTGGGATTAAAAAACAAGTAAATGAGTATTTTTAGAAGATATTACATCAGGGGAAAAAACTTCTGAAATGAAAGAGAAATAATCAACAAACCTAAACAGCATCCTACAGACTGGGACATTTACTAGAAAGCCAGGCAGCTGATGGGAAGGTAATGTTCCAAATGTCTGACTAACTCTTTTAAAATAGACACAAGTCATTACTCCATAGAAAACTTTAAACATTTTCCAGAAAATATAAGAAATCTGTTCACTGCTAATCATCACCTGGAAATACACATATTGAAACCACTCTTTGGTGTTAGCTATAATATATAGGATGCTTATGAAAAGATAAGAGGTATTAGTGATGGTATGGATAAAATGGAAACAACTACCTTGTAACTGGAACTGTAGCGTGGTACAGACTTTAAGGATAATAATAATAATAGAGTGATTCCTTAAGAAATTTAAAATGAAGCTGGAGAGATGGCTCAGTGATTAAGAGCACTTGCTATTCTTCCAGAGGACCTGGGTTTAATTCCCAGCACCTACATAGTGACCCACAAGCATCTGTAACTCCAATTCTAGGGTGTGTGATGCCCTCTTTTGCCCTCTATGGGCTCTAGGCACACACATGGTATACAGACACACATGCAGACAAAACATTCATATATATTTTGAAAGAATTAATTTAATTTAAAACATGTAAACACACACAAAGAAAAACAAAACATAACTTCTGGATTTGATGAAAGCATGTGAAATTACTAACATTGCAAAATGTCTGCAATCATGTTCTCTGTACTTTAGTTTATCATAGTCAATACAAACCTAATGTCCACCAATGGTCTAGTGGATAAAGAAATTGTGATGTGTGTTTATAATTACTGATACTGAGTCTCAGAAAAAGACCTTTCTGTATCCTGTTGTATGATAAGATAAAAGGACATTATAGTAAATGAAATAAAATAGAAAAAAATTACATTAACTTGCTTAGTCATAGTTTTTTTCAAGTTAATGCTGTGTAGTTGTTTCCTGTGGATTGTAACATTCCTTGTTGGAGGGAGATGGAAAGCTCACCGAACTTATGAAACTTACAAAACTCTCAGCACTCAGAGGCTCATGAAACTTACATGACTCACAAGGTCCCTCTCCAAGATTGTAAAACAACAATTTCTCAGGAAGAGGAGACTTTTCAGTATTATATATGCCTACATATTGCACAAGGGACTCCAGGAGTACAGCTCTCATCAGTTGACAACCATGCTTGAGTGACTCTCCATTGATGCAGCTCCCTTGGAGGTAATACACATACTTGGGTAATTAACTCCAACAAAACCACTGGTTCACTAAGGTAGACTTAGATGGAATTCTTTGATTTATCATTGCTTTCTTTGTGGGGGCAAATAGAAATAGGGCTCTAAGGAAAAGTTCACACAATTATCAAATATGCAGAAAACAAAATAAGGCCTGTGATGTGTAAGGAACTGAGAAGAAATGGGGAGATGTGGATTAAGGAATACATGATTGTAGCTATTTAAGCTGGACAAGTCTAGATCTCCAATTACAAAATAGTGGTTAATAAAATTTTATTGTATGAAATACTTGTGTTCAGTAAGTAATTGTTAATAAGTAGATCTTCTCTAATCCAAAAAGAGATTAAAAGCTTCATGTAAGATAACAGATAAGTTAATTTGCTTCAAGTACTGGTGACCTTACTTCCCCTATGGAACCCATAATGACATTTGATAAACCTCAAACACATGCAGTTATTTTTATTTTAAAAGCTAACAAACGAAATACAAAATAAAACCAGAAAAAGAAAAGGGAAAGTCTAAGTTGATATTCTACTGCATGCAAAAAAAGTCACCTCTAACTACTCTATCACAGTAGAGAGACTTGGGAATCTCTAACTGACTCTGGAGTGGTTTAGGGATCCATGCTCTCTGATGACCAATTAGCTACTGTCCTGGATGAGAAGATCCTGAGGGGTTTAGGTTTCCATGGAGATACAATTTCCTTCTCACAAGACAAGATTTGTGCAAAGCCATGAATGGCTGTGTGCCCAGATACACTAGTGGCTTCTTCAGATTTCTTGAACATGAAATATGTTTCCACTAATAAAATTGAATTGCTATGTTCTCTGCAAGATAAATAATAGAATATAATAACCACAAAACAATTTTATTGAATTCTAGTCTGTGTCCAAATAAATGATTTTTTTCTGTTAAGTTGTACATACACTTGAATTATTTAGGCCTTGATAAACAAAACACAGAGAAAAATGCATTTCTTTATTATAATATTGGCTAGTGTCCTGAGCTAATAAATATAAAATATGGAATCTTAGCTAGCAGCTATCTGGATAAGATTTGTAGCAAAATAGGGCATATTCAAATAATGAATTTCTGTTTAGTATCTGGGCAACCTGAAAATAATTATCTAGTATTTGGTCTCTTGGTAAGTATAGCTAATAAGAAGGAGGAATTTGTGTATATTCCACACTGAGATAATTAAATGTAATGGCACAGAATGTTCTATAAGCACAGGCCTTTAGTTATATTAAGAGTTCTAGAAACAAGAACAGTTCTAGATTAGCTAATTCTGTAAAGCACACTATTTGACCTTTTTCCTAAAAATAGGTAATTAAGAGTAATGTAGAATTTTGGGGAGGATCAGTCAGACAAAGCAGTGGTGTAATTAAGCTCATGTTTGATTTCCTCTTCTCCAGTTTCTTCTTTTTCATGAACGTTATCATCTTCCCAGCCCCAAGCATCATTTCTGAGTTGCACTGTGCAGCTGAGGAAACAGCAATGGCCCCCAACCCCAACTTACAGAATGCCTCCCCAATACTTGTTTACATGAGACCTTAAGTAGAAAAGCAACATTCATATCTGACCTCTGCATGCTTCATGATATAGCACTAATCATTATTTCCTTATATTCTCCAGATATCATAGAAGAGCATCCACTTCAGTAGACTTTAAAAAGAGGTCCTGTGATGTGAAGGGACATAGGCAGGATAAAAGGGATTAGAAGCATAGACATTGCTACAAGTCTTTGTCATGGGGTAGTCTGCATGGCACCATGCTAGAAATCTGGAAGGTGCTGCCACCAGAACAATGTTTCCCTGTCCCCAGGCTAACCTAGAAACTGTCTCCACTTTGAACAATAGGAGACAATATCCATTTCCTGAGCACCATGGTACAAACTAGTTCTTACTTCTAGTATATGGATTATGGACACTGAACCACAAAACATTTCAAAAGATGCCCCCACTTCCAACTTCAACACAAGGAAGCACCAAACCCACAGGGTCTGTTGAAGCTTATTTTGTACTAACCAATTGCTTTGCAAGGACAGGATGAGTCTATAACCCAAGAGCTGGTAAACCAAATTGTACTGGTTGTCCTTTGGTCTTCTATCCTGAGTCTGTGCCTCTCCTTAACACCTTCCACAGAGCCCCCTTCACATCCTTGTTCCTCAGGGTATAAATGAGAGGGTTGAGCATGGGAGTGATGATAGTATAAAAAAGGGCCACAAACTTCCCCTTGCTCTCAGAATAGCTGCCCTTGGGTTGTAAGTATGTGTAGATGGCTGCACCATAAAACATAGACACTACCACAAGGTGGGACCCACAAGTCCCCAGAGCCTTTTTGCATCCTGCCATTGACTTGGTCTTCAGCACTGCATGAGCAATGTTTGCATAGGAGCCCAGGATTAGTGTTACAGGAAAGATCAAGATTACAACTCGGGCCACAAACATTTTGGCTTCTGTTCCTTCTGTGTCCTCACAGGCCAACTTCAAGAGAATAGGCATCTCACAGAAGAAGTGGTTCAGCTGGTGTCCACAGAGGGGCATAGCCATCATCAGGCCTGTCTGAATAAGAGAGTTCATGAAGCCTCCTACCCAGGAAGTAATAGCTAGTGAGAGGCAGAGAAGGGGATGCATGATGGCGGTGTAGTGCAGGGGACGACACACAGCAGCATAGCGGTCAAAGGCCATCACCACCAGAAGCACACTCTCTGTGGAGGCCAGGGCAAGGAAAAGGAAGAGCTGGGCCACACACCCTCCGTAGCTGATGGTTCTGTCATATCCCTGGAGGTTGATCAGAAGCTGGGGCACAATGCTGGTGGTGTAACAGAGGTCCAGGAAGGAGAGATGGCAGAGGAAGAAGTACATTGGTGTCTGAAGTCGAGCATCCAGTTGTGAAAGAATAATGATGGTAGAGTTGCCAAAGAGAGTTAGGGAGTAGAAAATGGAAATGAAGACAGAAAGAATGAGTTCTAGTTGAGGAAAATCAGAGAAGCCCACCAAGACGAAACTGTGTCTAAAACTGGTGTTGAAACTTCCCATAGCCTTTCATGTGCCCAAATAACACCAGGCAACTCAATATCTGCTACGAAGAACATGGATTAGAACATTGTTCCAGACAATCCTTAAACACTCCAAAATAAAGCTTTTTCTTCTCTATTTTGCTAGTTCAGTTTCATCCAGTCTCCAGTTCTTACTCGTTTCCTCTTCAGACTGGAAATCATGGGAGCAGGATTATTATCTTTTGTTCAACCTATAACCCTGTTCCATATGTGTCCTGAACTTTAGCTCCCTCAATACCATGGATACATCACTGTCTGATAGCAGAAATGGCATCTTTCCTACCTTCCCACCCTAATGTTAACATCTAACAGGTAATACCAGAGTCTCCTTGAAAAATATAAAGAGTCAAATGCAGTCTCTTTGTCTCCTCTTTAGTCCAGTTGGCAGTGTTTCATGTATATGAAGACCCAGAACTAACCAGGATGAGACCATGCTTTTATCCCTATTGTATCATTTCCTCAGTGACTGTGACCAGCACTATAAACCCAGAAGCCCTGCTTGTCACCAGCTGTTGATTTGTTCTCTGTTAAGTCTGTTGAACTGGAAGGTTAATAAGTCAGCACTGGACCAATGATGCTGGGAAGCCATTTAGACACCATCTTTGATACTGTTATGGAAAAGATGGGGAAATGTGAATGGTACAATAAAGTATTAATTCACATATAGATAACTTAATATATCAAAGCTCTTTCTTAAACACATTCATTAGATTTTTGTGATGATATTAAAGGTGTCATTGTTATATTTTTATGCATACTTACGTGTGTGTAATGTCAAAGTTGGCCTTTGCAAATCCATCATCTTAGAATGGTATGGTTTATTTAGTGTCCTTACCAGGTCCCTGGGGATCAAGTCTACCACTGACTGGCTGAATCACCTGTTCAGACATGTTCATTTCACTCCCTTCTGTGAGTCTCAGTTTAGCTATCATGAAACAGATAAAACACGATTTCAAAAAAGATTGGACAGTATCATATATTCTGCAATCTATTAAGAATATGCTGCATGAAGTTTTTGAAGTATTTTATATATTCTTAAATTATTTTATTTTGTTGACATGTATAAATTATAAATTGCATATATAACTGGGGCCTATGAAATAATTCAGCACATACACAGAGTGTACACTCGCAGAACCTGCCTCCCTTATCCAGTCACAGAACCCAGCCTCCCCCACCACACCCACTTTCCCAAACTCTAGTGACCAGCATTTTGCATTTAGTTTGTCATCTTTACCTTCCACATGAAAAAGACTATGAAGCTCTTGTCTTTCTGGTCCTGTAGACTTTGTGTTTCTACATCACTAATCTTGGCCATGCAACAGGGTGTGATTCGTTAACTTATGTAGTCCCATTTACAAACACAGTGCCTAAAGAATGAACAGAAGTCAACAAGTATTGTTAAATGAATTAATTAATGAATTCTCCTCCATTAGAAAACATACATGTCATAGAAATGTTTATTTCCAGTATGACACAAAGGGAATAAACACATTGTTTCTAACTTGGTGGAATAAGATTTTACTGTTTTAACCATTCCTGTTCATATTTTATCAACAATGCTGTACATAATTATAGCTACGCTTGATATTGATATGTTTATAAATGAATCAAAGCTTAAAAACCCAATAAAGTGATGATTTGACTTAAGATAATATTAAACAGTAAAAATTGAACCTAGGCCAGGTGTTGGCGCACGCCTTTAATCACAGCACTCGGGAGGCAGAGGCAGGCGGATCTTTGTGAGTTTGAGGCCAGCCTGGTCTCCAGAGTGAGTGACAGGATAGGCTCCAAAGCTACACAGAGAAACCCTGTCTCGGAAAAAAAAATTGAACCTATCTTCAAATCTTGAAGTATAAGACTCAACTTGAAAACCTGAAGTTCATGTATTAGAAAACTAGATGGCCTGGGAATGTATCCACCAGAGACTCAACACAAGCCAGCAGTGCCCACTGACTGCTGAATCTTAGCAAATGCAAGCTCAAACTAGACAAAAGTCTAATCAGTACCTCCTTTTGCACGTATAGGAAAACCTGGAACTCATTTCCTCAGCCGCTTGTGTCATCTGTTCCTTGATTCTCTGGCAGAGAATCTCAAACCACTGCTTAAGTGATGACAACCTCTCTCCACTTGTCATCATCTGTAGCCTTTTGTTCCTATGTGGCTATGAGTTCCCTACTTATCTTGATGTAACTATTATTCTTTGGCCCATTGTTTCAATCATTTTCTTATTAATATCCTTGGACCTATCAAAGTATGATCTACCCATTTCTGTATGAATGGAATTTTTATATTTTCCATCACTAAAATCAGGCTAATAAATTCTGAAGAAAAAAATAATTCAAGTGCCTGAAGCAACACTACTAAAAATTCATATTCTTGCTAATGTATGTCTTACCTCTCCTTATCTGGCTAGTTGTCTACAGAAATTATCTATTATCAAGATTGTAGAATTTTTAAAATATATTTTCTCCCTCCAGTTTCTGTTATCACCCTCTTTTATATCTCATCCTTATATCTCATCTTTATAGCATTTGACATGTCGGGTAACTGTCCTTTTCTGTTCAATCTCTCTGCCCCCCATTCCTGGATGCCTTCTTCCTTCCCTGCATTCCCTATCATGGTCTCCTCTACCTGTACCTTGCTGACCCTCTTCTAATACCATGCTATAAACTATTTCTGGAAAATTCATCCATTGCAGGGTTTGAGTCACACATAAGTATGTTTCCATCCCTATCTATTGTCTGCATTTCAGACTTCCACACTTCATCTAGTTCAATCTTTTTATGTATTCCTGATGTTTTGATAGTGTGGGGTCCGATTGGCCATAAAGGGACTTCCCCTTTTAGGTACAGAAATTCTCACAGATAGCAAAGCACTTTCTTGTAATAAACATCTCATGAAAACCATCAGCTAGAAACATTCCTTCTAGCTCCTTTGCTGGGGTCTAACACAGCAGTTTCTACCCTCTCTAACACAAGAACAGAAAATTAATCATATCATAAAGCATGCTGAAATTGTTTTTATAAATCACAGTATTTGTACACTGCCTCGTAGTCTGTGGCTTTTGTCAGTATTTTTCTCAACTTCCCTTTTTTCTAACAAGCTCTGGAATTTCACTATGAGTACCCACATTCACCATGCCTCTTCCTTTTGAGAACTGTCGAGCCATGAGCTACTGATCAAATTCCAGTTATCTCCTTAACCGGAGATATCACTTTACATTGACTGATAACAAAGCCTTTGTGTTAGTTGACATCTCCTTGTCCATTGTTTTCACTTGGAAGCCCTCTGGACATCAGCATATTCAACATGCAACTCGTCCTTGCCCCTTTTCCTTCTTCTTTTCCTATGTTCCTCATCTCAGGGAAGCACAACCCAGCTAGGTGTCACCAGCCTCCACACTGACACTTTCTTTGAGCACACCCTACACACCCCTTCATCTACAATAGCATTTCTCAATAAGAGATGACGTCATCTATTCAGGAAGATTCCCTGATGTTTACAGACACTTCTGTTGTTTGCTGAGGACAGGAGTGGTGCTGTGCCGTTTGCAGTGCACACAGCCCACCGCCACCACCATATATATACACATGAATTATCCCGTCCCCGGTGTCAGTAGTGTGAAGGTAACAGTCTCACTTCTTGGGAGAATTCTTTTCTATGTTTGTGGTGAACTGAAAACTTCTTGATGTATGGCCATACAGGCACTTCACCTTCTCACATATCACTTACCATCCTTGACATTAATTTGTGACCTTTAATTCCATCACGCCAGGGCTTGTGAGGAACAGGACCATGTCTGTCTTGTTCTTAGAATGAAGATGTGAGAACGTCCTTCATGAGAAACAGGTGCTTTATATTATGTTTTTAGATTCTAAAACCAAGTCCAAATGCATAGATTATGTTTTTAGATTCTAAAACCAAGTCCAACTGCATAGGCTTGATGGCTTCTATCCACAGTTAAAGTCCTGTGCTATAAGAAAGACCATAACTTCCCTCTGTTCTTCTGCAAAGTCAAAACTTAGACTTCCAAGGGTAAGGCATAATATAAGAACATGCAGGAGAAGGGAAAACAGACTAAATATTGACTGCCTGGAAAGGAACCTGGCTTCTGACTACTTCAAAGCTTCCTGCTCATCCAGAGCCTGAAACTTTAACTTCCATTATATTGTAAAATATTCTAGCATTCTCTCAACAAGTTAGGGTAGCATTATACACAGGTGTGACAACCCAGATTTTCTCCTTTTAAACTATCTTTTCAAAACTTAACATGCTCATAATCCCCTTGACTAAATTAGATTTATATTTACATTTTTGACACAGTTGAGTTTTGCAACACAAAGACTGTTGACTGTATTGTGTATTGTGTGTAGGACTATTTATGATCTCTGCAAATAATAAAATTCTTGAGAGCAAAAATCACATTTTAAATTTTTTTCCGATTTTTTCATGCCATTGTAATACATCACTGATTTTAACTAAATGGAGCCACATCCGAGCCAGAAATGACTGAGCGTAGAAGCTTTCTAACTCATCCACAATTATCTTCAAGAATCATCCTTAAATAAATCAGTGTTTAGTATCATGGCTTCTTACCTTTTATATCCTTTCAGATGTGTTTCCTCGTGGTGTGTTTTTTTAATACATTTTAAATTAAAATATAATTGCATTACTTTCACCTGTTCTTTTCCTCCTCAAGCCTCTCCCAAATCCCCTTCTCCCAGCTCATATCATGTCTGCCCCATTCTCAAATTGACAGCTTCTTCTCTGAATATTATTGTGATATATACATATATATATATAATATAATTTCTCTGTCTCTTTTTATCTGAATGTACATTTTTTTCTTAGATTGTAAAAGACTCTGCTCACCGTGGACCTTTATTAGGCACCAATGCATTCTCCTACCCATTCTCCACCACAGCCACCTCCTCCATAGACTTAATTGCTGTTTACTCAGCCCGTCCTTGGCAGGCT